GNNNNATTTTCGTTGTTCAGTTTTCGGTGTTCTTACGTCATCGAAGAACTGAAGTCTTTTCTTTTGATTCTTTTGTTTTTCATTCAAACACTTGTGTGATCAGTGCTTAGGGATTAAGTACTGTCTTTAGCTCGAGGGATTCGAGAGGTAAAATCCACGGGACGTGGTCGGAGAATTAGTTGATAGAATCGTGTGTAGTTGTGGCTAGGCTAGAAGGGAGTTCGAGTCGTGTAAGTCCAAACTATACAAGTGTGCACAAACGGTTTATCAATGAAAGAGCTCTGAGGGGAAGTGGGACGCTTCCCTGAAGAGTTTTTAAATCTTCGGTTTATTGCTTCTGCTATTCTAGTTGTTTATTTGTGTTCTAACAAAGTTGAGCGCACTCGTTACAAAATACCTACGTTTCAATATATATTTTGTTAAAGAAAAAAATAATAGATCAACCCGTCTAATGTTACTGGTTAAAAATTTTCATATAAAAAATTGTGGAGAAAACGGCCTACCAAACATATTTCATACTCCGCCGAACAATCATGAGCGATGATATTTTCTATTTCAATTTTAAGAAGACCTTTTGTTTTTATTATTATTTTTCAGGCTTAACAGCAAGTTGTTATTTTTAAAAATTCCCATGGTTGACAGTCTGACTTATGCATACCATCGGTAGTTATAACCGAAAATTCAACTTAAATCCCTCCTCTCATTTTCAACTTCCAAATCACTCTCTTTCTTAATTTTTTTTCCTCTACTCTCTTTCACTAATTTTCTCTTTCCATTTCACTCCCCATATAAAGTAACATTATTATTTATTTATTTTTGCTTGAAAATCACACAAAAAACACAGTGCTCTCTGTCTCTCTCTCAGCAATAATCCCAAATTGTAAAAATCGTCCCCACCGTGCATCTCCTTCGCCGGCCACCACCTCCGTGAAGCTAATTTGTAAGGAAGTTGTGTTTTTTAAGAAACCCAGGCCGGGCAAACAAATTAATAAACAAAGAACAAAATTGAAGAAAGGGCAAAAATCATTCGCCGGAAGCATGCGTCGCCACCAGCATAGGAGGCGAAACTTCTCGCTAGTTTTGAATTCCGATTCAGATTCCAATCTGGATTTCGGAGAAGGCGAGGAAGAAGATGATGCGGAGGAAGAATCCGCATCGGGGCGCCGCCGCCGCCGGAGGATGAAGATGAAGTGCCTCTCGTGCAAGGAAGACTACGACGGCGAGACGGAGGAGGAGCTAAAGCGCGAGATCGAAGACCTAAAGTCCAAGGTCAACTTCCTCCGGCTGCTGTCCGTCGAGCCCGGGCTCGTCGGCCCTAATTCGATCATCCAGCCGAATACGCCTTGTTCCTCTTACGTCGTTCTGGTGGCATCCGGTTCGCCGAACTTATTCGATTAGTAGTGCAGTTCGCCTTCAATTAGGGCTCAACGTGCTGTATTGGTATTGTGCCCCTTTTCACCAATTTCTGATTCAATCTTATGATTTCTCCCAATTCCACGTGTTTTGATCTCAAATCCTTCCAAACTCAGATTTATTTCAATGTTATTTAATTGTGAGACTCATTGGTAGACGGAGTTGTGTATTAGGTTTAGGTGGTCTATGAAGTTCGGGAACGTGGTGCTAACGAAACATACTTTTTCGTTGTTGAATCAATTAATGCAATTTTGATCTATTTGTCACTTGTTTTAAAATAAGAATCTACATATTTTCGTGTTAAGTCTTAAAACCCACTTTATAGTTGAAGTGATAAAGATGTGCCTTGGACGTGCTAAACTACCACAAAAAGAAGCATGATGCTTCTTGGACAAGCATCTCTTGCATACTTACCAGAAAAAAAAAGCATAATGGTTGTGTTTGTCAAGCATAATTCCATAATCTTTGTGGACATTCTGAAGAGTTTTTTTGCAAAGTTTAACCCTAAGATCTGTACAACTACAAAAAGCACCAACTACATTGACCTTTTTTCTTACGTATTGTACTCTGTGGACTTTCTGGATACCATGCAAGTTGACTATTGTATTCTGAATTTGTTTTGATGAATAAAAACCTCAAGAGGGTCTCTTAATTAAGATTTATTAGATTATTATTATTTTTTATATAAAGATGAAAAATTACGGATTACGGAGTAAGTTTTGAAGGGTTTAAGGTTGGCCATGTCTTCAACCGTGGAAATTGAAGCTCGAGAGTTAAGTTTTGCTTCCCTATCTAATAATGCTCTTGTTAAAGTTAATAACAAGGAACGACTTGCATTATTTCATTCTTTATGGATTGAAACGCTCGTAAAGCTCAGAACTTTATGAGAGATTTGAGCTTCTAAAGAACAAGTTTCTGTAATCGTAGTTGGAAGGTAGATTTTTGGAATTGGGTATATTTCTGCTCATTTAGTCTAATGATTGTAATGATACGGGAAAATGGGGAAAATTTTATTGCTGTTAGTGTATTCGTTGTGGGAGAATTAGAGTTCATCTTTTCAATTTGTCTGTGTATAGAGTGTTTTGGAAATGATTGAACTTCATCTGGGCTTATTTGATACTATGCGAGGTACTGAACATACAGCGACGCGTTCACACTTGAATTGATTAATTACGGTACCGTCCCTAGTGTGAACGCAACGCTGTATGTTCAGTACCTGTTCAGCGGTGCGTTCACACTTGAGTTTGTATGTTAGGGTTTTATGTAATCAGCTTACTTGAGTCTTGAAGACTCTGATATTAGAACTTCTCAGTTTTAGGTTTCATTTTGTAACTGTGCCTTAGTACATTAGGTCCTCTATTGATCACTTTTTTTGTTGATCAACTTTTTGATAATCTGACTGCTATGTTATATTGATTCCTTTGACATTTCTGATGATTTTTGACTTATATACCTTTCTACTGTGATGGGTTGTGGAGTGAATGAACAAAAACAAGCTGAAGTAATGAAATAAAATTCTTGCAAGCAGCCGGGGCCTGCCTGCTTAAATGAATTCCATCCCTTTTCAATTTGCACGTGTAGTGGACCATTTCCTGTGTTTTTTGTTTATAAATTTGCATTGTAGAAAAAAAAAAAGATGTGCAGGTTCATAANCACCTGATATTGGGTCTTCAGTACCAACTCCGACTAAGATTAAAAAAAAAACGAATTTCATAAAATGGTACAAGTTTTCCCACGAATGGTACCACTTTTTCTTCTATACAGTACCTGTTATTGATGAATTAGTACCTACTTTGTAGCCAAAAAAAAAAATGATTACTTCAAATTTGGTCAACATTTGCAAAATTGGTACCAAACCTAGAGTAAGATAGTACTGCAAATATGGTGTTCTAGTACCAAATATCGGGTTTTTAGTACCAACTCCGACGAACACAGAAAAACACCGAATTTCGGTCCCAAATGATGTTTACATGATCAATAATCACTGTCACATTAGTTTTCATGAGATTTAGAATGTTTAATTAAGTTTAATTAATCACTGTCACATGAAAAAACACTACTAATACACTTCATCTCATTAAATGATACACTTCATCTTATTGAATGACACACTTCATTTCATTGAATGATCATACAAGACTACTCGAAATTCTACTTATATGTTTTAACTTCCACTATTTATCAACCAAATCATGCGTGAACGATTCACGTGGCATGGTAGACATGGAGGATTAAAGAAATCACGATTACCAAAACGGTATCATTTTTGACAGAAATAGTATCGCTTCTTCTTCTGCGTAGTATCTGTTTTTAATCAATTAGTACCTACTTTTGGTCAATGAAAATGGATTACTTCAATTTTGGTCAAAATTTGCAAAAAATGGTACCAGACCTAGAGTAAGATAGTACCAGTTTTATATTGTTGTAGTACATGATATTGGGTCTCTAGTACCACTTGGAATAAACACCGAACTTCGATCTCAAATGATGTTTATATGACCCATAATCACTCTCGCATTAGTTTATATGAGATTTAAAATGTTCAAAAATTGAGTTTAATTGTAAAATGGTCATGAACTCAACAAACTAATGAGAAAACACTACTAATACACTTCATTTCATTGAATGACACACTTTTTCTCATAGAATCATCATACATGACTACTCCAAATTTTACCTATATGTTTTAACTTCCACTATTTTTCATCCAAATCAAGCTAGAACAATCTACGTGAAAAGGTAGACATGAAGGATTAAAAAAAATACGATTCCTAAACTAGCACCAATTTTTGCCATAATAGTACCACATATTGTTCTACGTAATACTAGTTTGAGCGATAGTACCTACTTTTGTGAAGGAAAATTGATTATTTCAATTTTACTCAACATTTACAAAAAGTAGTACCGGACCTAGAGAAGGATAGTACCACTTTTGTATTGAAGTAGTACCTGCTATTGGGTCTTTAGTACCACTTGTAATGAACACATAAAAACACCGAATTTCGGCCTCGAATGATGTTTACATGACCCGTAATCACTCTCACATTGGTTTATACGAGATTTAAAATGTTTTTAGTTGCGTTTAATCCTAAAATGTCATGAACTTGACACACTAATGAGAAAACACTACGAATACACTTCATTTCATTGAATGACACACTTCATCTCATAGAATCATCACACATGACTACTCCAAATTCTACATTTTTGTTTTAACTTCAACTATTTTTCATCCAAATCAAGCTAGAACAATCCACGTGAAAAGGTAGACATGAAGGATTAAAAATAAATACGATTCCTAAACTAGCACCAGTTTTTGCCATAATAGTACCCCATATTGTTCTACGTAGTACCAGTTTTTGAGCGATTAGTACCTGCTTTTTTTTTATAGAAAATTGATTATTTCACTTTTACTCAACATTTACAAAAAGTAGTACCGGACCTAGAGAAGGACAGTACCACTTTTGTATTGCAGTAGTACCTGATTTTGGGTATGTAATACCACTTTTCATGAATACATAAAAACACCAAATTTCGGCCTCGAATGATGTTTACATGGCCCACAATCACTATCACATTGGTTTATATGAGATTTAAAATGTTTCAGTTGAGTTTAATCGTAGAGTGATCATGAAGTCGACACACTAATGAGAAAACACTACTACTACACTTTATTTCATTCAATGTTGCACTTCATCTCATAGAACCATCACACATGACTACTCCAAATTCTACATATTTGTTTTAACTTCAACTAGTTTTCATCCAAATCAAGCTAGAACAATCATTCGAGGCCATGTAAACATCATTGTTCTACGATTCCTAAACTAGCACCAATTTTTGCAATAATAGTACCACATATTGTTCTACATAGTACCCAGTTTTTGAGCGATTAGTACCTACTTTTTTGAAGGAAAATTGGTTATTTCAATTTTACTCAGCATTTACAAAAAGTAATACTGGACCTAGAGAATGATAGTACCACTTTTGTATTACAGTAGTACCTAATTTTGGGTATTTAACACCACTTGTAATGAACACATAAAAACACCAAATTTCGGCCTCGAATGATGTTTACATGACCCTCAATCACTATCACATTGATTTATATGAGATTTAAAATGTTTTTAGTTGAGTTTAATCGTAGAGTGGTCATGAAGTCGACACACTAATGAGAAAACACTACTACTACACTTCATTTCATTCAATGTTACACTTCATCTCATAGAATCATCACACATGACTACTCCAAATTCTACTTATTTAATTTAACTTCAACTAGTTTTCATCACACATGACGCCCACGAATTTATCCAACTCGATGAATTCGTCGGGCGGTCTTTAGTACCACTTGTAATGAACACATAAAAACAACGAATTTCAGCTTCAAATTATGTTTACATGACCCATAATCACTCTCACATTGGTTTATATGAAATACAAAATATTTTTAATTGAGTTTAATCGTAGAATAATCATGAAATCGACACACTAATGAGAAAATCATCCTTAATATATATCACAACCATAATATTCCATATATAATGCAATTAGAATCATTTAGGTGCAACATTCTATATATGAAATTAAAATCAAATATTATAATTGTTGGATAATCCATTAATAAAACTGCATTTTATTTTTCCACCAAAAACCGTTACAATTTTTTTCTTTACTTTTTTTTTTCTTTTAATAAAAAACATTTACAATTTTTTTTTCATTAATAAAATCGTTACAATTTTATAAAACCGTTATAATTGTTGGATAATCCATTAATAATTGTTGGATGAAACTAAAAACAAATATTATAATTGTTGGATAATCCATTAAAAAAACCGTTACATTTTTTTTTTTCATTTTATTAAGCATTNAATAATAACAATATAATAATAATAATAATAATAATAATAATAATAATAACAACAACAACAACAACAACAACAACAACAACAACAATTTCAATAGTTTTTTTTAACATAATTAAT